ATGGTGACAGAGGTAGGACAGTGACAGAGGAAGTGGGAGGACAGTGGCAGAGGGAGGACAGTGACAGAGGGAGGACAGTGACAGGGAGGACAGTGACAGAGGGAGGACAGTGACAGAGGAAGGATAGTGATAGAGGGAGGACAGTGACAGAGGGAGGACAGTGACAGAGGGAGGACAGTTACATAGGGATGACAGTGACAGGGATGACAGTAACAGAGAGAGGACAGTGACAGAGGGAGGACTGTGGCAGAGGGAGGACAGTTACAGAGGGAGGATGGTGACAGAGGCAGGACAGTGACAGAAGGAGGACAGTGACAGAGGGATGACAGTGACAGAGGGAGGACAGTGACAGAGGGATGACAGCAACAGAGGGAATGCAGTGACAGAGGGATGACAGTGACAGATGGAGGACAGTGGAGAGAGTGAAGGAAGTGACAGAGAGAGGACAGTGACAGAGGGAGGACAGAGCCTTAGGAAGGACAGTGAAAGAAGTATCAGAGATGACGAGAGAGAGAGAGAGAGAGAGAGAGAGAGAGAGAGTGACCGAGGGAAGATAATTACCATGAGAGGAAATTTATTAGGAAACGATAATGAATGAATGAGAAGAGTTAATGAGAAAAGAAAATGAGTGGTGAAGGAAAGTGAATGAGTAAGGGGATTGGATGAGTAAGGGTGGAGGATGAGTAAGAAGAGTGAATGAGGAAACAGAGTAAATGAGGGATAAGATAGGTGGAGATGAGGAAACTAAGCGAGGGTGAAGAGGGAACTAGGGGATAAGAGTTAATAATTATGGAAGGAGCGTAACCGAGTGAGAAGAATGAGAGGATTAGCAATGGTAAATGATGGTGAGGGGAGAGACAGGGTGAGTGAACGAGGAGTGAGAAGCTGCACCAGAATAATGGTGAACCAGAGAGTAAAAACAATGGACTAATTATCCAGGAAGACCTCAGACAACTAGTGGAACAAAGGAAGGAACAAGAAGAACCACAAGAGGGAAAGACACAAGACAACTAGTGGAACAAAATAAGGAACAAGAAGAACCACAAGAGGGAAAGACACAAGACAACTAGTGGAACAAAGGAAGGAACAAGAAGAGCCACAAGAGGGAAAGACACAAGACAACTAGTGGAACAAAAAATGGAACAAGAAGAACCACAAGAGGCAAAGACACATGACAACTAGTGGAACAAAGAATGGAACAAGAAGAACCACAAGAGGGAAAGACACAAGACAACTAGCGGAACAAAGAAAGGAAGGAAGGAGCAGGAACCACACGACGAGAAAACAATAGAAACCTAGGAAAGGATAAAGCGTTATTGAAAACAGAAAAGACAGGTGAGAGAAGAGAAGAAGAGGAGAAAGGAGCCAGTTGCATGATAAACAAAGTTGAAGAATCAGGGTTGATCTGCATGAGACGTGAGGACACAGAGAAGCAGATGTGAGTTAATGTGTGTACGAGTGTGAATGTGCACTCACCTACCTGTGTTGTGTGTATGACTGTGTATGTGCACTCACCTACCTGTGTTGTGTGTATGACTGTGTATGTGCACTCACCTACCTGTGTTGTGTGTATGACTGTGTATGTGCACTCACCTACCTGTGTTGTGTGTATGACTGTGTATGTGCACTCACCTACCTGTGTTGTGTGTATGACTGTGTATGAGCACTCACCTACCTGTGTTGTGTGTATGACTATGTATGTCCCTCTCTATGTCTCTCTCTCTTTCTCTCTGTCTCTCATATTTTTTACTCAAGGGTTTTACAAGATTACGTTAAAGGTTCCTACGTTTATCTACATACTAAAAGTTGGTACCTACATTAGCTCATTTGAAAACCATTTTAATGTTATAAGACATAGAAATAAGGAGCATAATGAAGCAAGATCCATCTGTGGGGCAACGATATGATTTGGTCAACTGGCGTTATTTCCTTTATGTCATAATGCTGTGTGAACAAGTTTTAGATTTTAGTTGTCGTAGGAATAAATTATCTCAGGTGAAGTGATGTTCTTGAAAAGGTTACAGCCAGAGTGTAGTTGCTGTTTGCTGCCCGTCTTATTGTATAGAAGCTCACTTGTTGTTCTCCGGGGTGTGGAAGCATGTATGGTACCTTGAGAATATTGGCCTAGTATATAACAGTAATTCCATCCACATTCTTCCGGTGTTGAGGGCTATGTTGAAATGACTGATTCGGAGCCTACTGTAACTGATGATAGTTTTCTTTTGGTTTTAGCCTCCTATGTCGAGATTACCTTTTTTGGACTTCTTCCATTTGCCAACAAGTTTGCCTGTGCAGGTTCCTGTTATAGACTGTGGTATATCTCTTATATTTTTTCCATGTCTTGTACTTAGCAGCATCAACCTTTAGACAACAAAAGCCGAATCAAGGCTGATCTGAAAGCTTCGTAACCTACTGCCGGTGAGGGATGTATTTTTGTTAGAAATTTGGACATGTTCAGTGAAGGTATTCACTTCGTTTTCAACATAGGAGGCAGCGACCTCAGAACAAAGTTCTGGCCAGTTTCCTCTTTTCCACAGCCAGCTTGTGCGTTTAGAAGCTACAACTAGTTCTGATGGAATCCTCGGTGTCGTAAAAACAGCCTTGTGATCAAATGATCCAACATAGCCATGGGGTTGGCAACCAACTATTTATTCATATAGATCACTCACTACTGGGTCGAGAGAAGAGCCAGAGATGTGAGTAGGGAAGTCAAGAAAGTTTTTTTTTTTATGTCAACCACTGCAAGAAAGTCATCAAAATCCCTCTGTTGATGTTGGTTGATGTCATCAAGAAATATA